ATGATTCAATATATTCATCATTGTCAGCTAGTCCAACAAACTCACACAAGCACACAAAAACAACATTTTTTTTATTTTTTTTATTTTTCAAACTTTTTTTTTACTAAAACAATAAAAGCACACAAAAGCACATAAAAAAAATTGAAAACTCATGTTTTCCACCCCCAAACTTGAACTAGACATTATTCTTAATGTCTTTAATCATAAATCCACATAAAAACAAGTGGGGAAGAAAATGAAGAAAAAACTCCCCTCATATGACTTGTAATTCAATGACTAGATTTTATATTGGTTCCATTGGCTCCTTAGTCAATTTTGGTTTAAATGTTATGCGACGTCATGTTCCTAAAAAATCAAATAAAGCATTAAGATCAAATAATTGGAACAAGTGTTACTTAGCTCTAATATCCAATAAACCAACTAATATATCGAAGATCTAAGGGAAAACGGGGTATGGATGATGAGTCCTTAAAATTGATTAATAAAAAAATAATCTAAATTAACTTAAATTATTCTAAATATAAAAAAAAATAAAAAATTAAAGGGATAAAAGTATTGGGTTGTCTCCCAACAAATGCTTGTTTATAGTCTGTAACTCGACTTTTGCACAAGTGTATCATGGCACTTTGAATATGGCTTTGAAGGTCTTGCTTAGCTTACTTAATTTGACTTTGTTCCATATTGCAACTTTCTTCCAAATTTTAATCTTGTCCTTCTCCAAGTAGTATGACTTCCTCTCATCATCCATTTTGAACTCAACAATGCACACCTCAATCTCCTCGTAAGGTTTAATCACAAACTCCATTTTTGAGCAAACGAGAATGTCGATAGATTGCCTGCTAATTTCCTCTTCTTTGAATGCTACGGATTTTTTTTTTCCCGTTATAATTATTTTTTTGATCTTCTCATGCTCTTCTTCTTTAATTGAAACTTTCTCGAATTTAACGTTTGTATCCAAAACTTTTGCAAAGAAACAATGACAACTTCGTGGGAAAGTCTCCTTCTCTTGTTGTATTTGTTGGAAGTCTGATGGATTTGATTCCCTTAATTGATATTCATTAATAATCGGTGGAAGAAATAATCTCATAGGCAAATCACTCACATCAAATTGGGTGAGAGAAATAATGCAACGGGTAAGCCACACAGGACGGTTTCATCAAGTTCACATTCTGCTTTTATATCTCGTAGTCGTTGTCCTATAATGAAATCTCCCACAAGCATATCTCCCTCATCAATTTCTTGAGTTGGCAATTCTTGTTGCCTTATGATAAAGTTACATAAAAGCATTTTGTTGAAATCAACCACAGTCATTTTTTATCCTGCTATTTTTGTTCTCTTATATATCTTGAAAAAGATAAAGAAAATAAAATAAAATGGAACGAAAATAATAATACAAGAATACAGATAGAAGTCCGAATTAGTGTCAAGGTAAATAAAAAGAAATCAACAAATCAAATAACATTAAAAATAAAATAAATTAAGACTAAAAGTAAATAGTCCCCGACAATGGCGTCAAAAACTTTTTGCGTTTTTTATATCGCAAGTGTACGATATCATAACTAGTAATGTTAGAACTGGACAAAACTTCCGAACCGAATCAAGCGGTTCTTCATAAGTTAAATATCCAAAATGGTATCTGAATCGAGAACTGATGGGTTTGGGTCAGTTCTCGGTTCTGGACCAAAAATCGAAGAATCAAATAAGAATTGAATCTAAATAATTTTTTTGATTTTTTTATATTGAATTAATTAAAATTTTTTAATTTTTTTAAACAAATTAGTAAATCTTATTAGTTGAAAATTTTTAGTTCATTTGTGTTTGTT